ACCATAAACACAACATGAAAAAATACAGACCAAATGAGGATTGTATAAATTGCATAACAAAGCTTATATGATGGTGTGTGAAAAATTGTTTCCAGTCTGTGTTAGGGGCCCACCAAGAGGTTATATGGCCTCTGTTGAGAATGATCTACAGTATATGGAATATTTCTGGTGTGTGAACTACCTGTCCAGGAATGGTAGTAGCTGGCACATTAACCAAAGCTAGCCCCAGTCATTGTGAGCTAATGTGTTTACTTGGGCATCCAGTGACAGATATTAATCCAGGACCACTTCCAAGCTACGCATCTTCTCCAGATCATTCTGTCAGAATTCAGGTTCACTTCAATGGGCTTCATCCAGCCCATTACCCCATTTGGCTACTGGTCCACCACCTGCACAGCCTCACTTGACTTTGACAACAAATAGAAATAGTTTGGGGAAAAGAGCAAAAGATGGAATAGTGTCCAAGCCATGCCATCATTATAAAATGAACCAACTATGTAATAGCTGCCATTTCCTTTCTGCTGCCATTTCTAAAAATATAAAATTCAGTAGTTATCTCAGATTCATATCTAATTTTACTTGAAAGTCACAGCTTCTTCAGCAGACAGAAAGCAAAAATGAACATAATGTTACTATGAGTAAAGTTCTAAATTGGTTTGGGGTACACTAGGAAAAAGGAAAATGCTGGACAGCTCAGTGGTTTAGGTACCTGGCTGCATAGTCAGAGGTTGTGAGTTCAATTCCCCACTGTGTCTCCTGGGAGAAGAGTTAGCCTTTGTAGTCATGGGCAAGCTGCACAGTCCTAGAGTGAGCTCGGAAGGGAATGGTAAAATGCTTTTGTGTATTCTCCACCTAGAACACCTTTGAATCAACTCAATCAGATGCCCTCCAAATTTGTCCTAGACTATAATTCCCATCTTCCCTAAACACTGTCCATGCTAGCCAAGTCTCAAAGCATCTGGATAATATTATGTTGGCGAAGCCTGGATAATTGATTCCTTAACAGAGATATTCTCCAGCCATGCAAAGCTTGAAAGGTTACATTACTCCTTCAAGAAATTCAGTGTTTCAACCCAACTCCTTGTTTGGACCACAACTCCCAGACTCCCCCAGCCAGCAGAGTCACTGGCCATACTAGCTAGAGAACTCTGGCACCTGTTGCAGAAAACAAAAGTAATTTGCATAGAAGAAATGTAAAACTTTAGACTCCTTATGTTGTTCACTTGTATTTGAAGTATATCACTACATGGAGAAGGGGAGGTTAGTGATCCAGGATACATCTACACACAAATCAATTTTATGAAATAAAATGTCAAAAAGCAGGGTTCTAAGTATATTCATTTTCTTTGTGGTGCGATATTTTTATATGAACAATTTTTTTTCCTGTAGAGATTTGTGAGATCAACCGTCCTTCACTCTCTGAACTGGTACCGGCAAATAGTTTATCCCCTAAGCCAGAACTAGTCTTAAAATACATGCACTTAACTTCTTTCCTAAACCACTGTTCGCCATATGTGGGCATTATTATTCCCATCACCACCAGTATCATCTAGTCATATTGTACGTTATTTCCAGTATACATATAGCATACACTTATAGGCAGGGCATGATGAAATTGTAGTGCAACACATTCAGGGAGTACCAGCTTGGGAGTAATGGATAAAAGAGACTACCAAGGTAGCATGGCATCAGAGAGTTAAATGGGAAAAACAGAGAGACTAAAATTTTTGGAGGTTGAAGGGTTCATTTGTCCTCCTCTTCTGATCGTTATCCAGGAAAGTTAATATATGGTACTCTGGGCTTTTTAAAAAGCCAGCCAATATAAACACACAGGCTATTGCTTAACTTATTTAGCTCATCACTGTTCTATTTGCCTACATGGTATTGGTTATTTTAGAGGGTAGGAACACATATTAAATGGACTAATGATCTGAGCTAATAATCTGCACGTATCTCCCAATATATACAGAGATATCCCATGCTTTCATTTAAAAAATGGACAGAGCTTTAAAACATAGTGGAAAAGCAAACATAGAGAACCTTTTGTTCTAGTTACAAAATATGTGGCAGAAATCAGCATGACCTGAAGGGATGATCATAGACTTTGTGAGGTCCAGAGAATTATGAAATTGGCATAATAGAGCAAACAGAGAAACATACTGCACCTCTGAACATAATTGTAAGTAACCAAATAGATGGCCAGGCCAAGAAAGACTGCAGATTATAGTCGTGAGATTTGTTGGAATAATGGTGACAACATTGTCATCCTGAGACATTACTGGACTGCAGTGTCCATCCTTCACCAAATACTAGGGCTGATGAGTACCTGAGTCTCACAACATTAGACTACTAATGTTACTACCTCTTTGTTGGGTGATATGCAGACCATTTGACTCTTCCATATTTTGAGCTACACCTCCCATACCCTTGGTGATGCTGAAGAGGGCTGATGGGCTCAAACATTTGAAAGGCCAAAGGTTCCCTACATTTACTATACAGTTACACATGAGGATGAAAACACTGTCATGAACGTGTGTAAGATAAGAAAGGCAAAAAGATGATGTGGCTGGTCACAATTACACGTGACCAGGCAAAACGTTCCTAGCAAAAGCAGTAAGGAAAATACAAAGTAGCTGTTCCATCTGTTCTTCTTACTAAACTTTCTGAAGTGGAAAAAAAATAGAAAAAGTGGGTGAGAGGAGTGGTTTTAAAAGATGTCTCAGATGTCTCTCCTAGTCTAGTGCATACAGAATCCCATAGGGTAACTGTATGATAAACAGCCTGATCCAGAATTGCCCCATGTCCAAAATGAGATACACAACATTTAAAGCCAAATCAGTGCTTCCAAAGCTCAAACCAGACATTCTGCTTTCTTCATACACTATGGAGAAAAAAGGTCAGGTAGTCCAACAGACAAAGGGTTGGTCTTCAACTATTTCCTTCCTCCTTCCTAATTCAAACGCTGGATTCCATGACAAACCACCCAGTGCATAACTTCTGATATTGGTATGCTTACTTTACCTACAATTAGATTTACTAATTGTGTTCTTCTTCTGTAAAAACTCAGCATGATTTTGGCCTGCACACAATCTAAGAACATCCCCTTCTGACTACCATGATATGCATGCAAGGGGGAATTTACTTTTTGAATATGTATGGCATCTTCTTAATCCTTCTAGTTATGCATTATGCAGCCTGACTCAGATGATAATAGATTTGTAGATCACTCCCTTGTCTTTCATATTTTCACACAGAATGTTAATTTTTTCTTCTTCGCTTTTCTGAGCACTCCTGCCTGCGTATCTAAGACTGCAGCATTTCCTCCTCTCCTGGATATCAAAGCACATTAAAGAAAGTGAAACTGGAAGATAGGGAGGAAGCGTATCTGTGGTTAAAAGCAGCTAGTGAGTGGCAACAAAAAGTGTTTCTAGGCAAAGCTTTTATTACTACTGTGTAATCATACTGCTTCAATCAAGGATTATTATACAGGGCCTAGACACCATCTTCTATCCATACATCTCCCATGTTTTCCCATTAAGTCTTCAATTCAAGTCCGACTGCTTGGCTGAGGAAGAAGGTGGAAGAAAGAGGATGCTGCAAATGGTGAGTGAGTTGTCACGCTGGGGAGGCATGGAGGGAAGCATGCACCTCCTGAGGAATGAGCTAGTGTGCAGGAGAGGTGGGCATCATGCATGCACAACACCTGTGCGGGCACCGCAACTCAACCCGGACAGGGATGACTTAATTTGTGCCCATCTCTATTTTGGACTCTTGATCTTTTAAACTGAAAAGTAAAGTATTGGCTTATTTTTTCCAAAACTTTAAAAGGGAAAAATATGTTTTTTCACTGTTAGCAGAAATTTTTGCTGGAAACTCTTGATTATTCAGGAGTATACAGATTCACTAAATTAAACAAACTTCAAAGCCAATCTCGACTGTCTTATTCAAGAACAAACCTACATTCCCTGATCAGGTTGCCCTTTGGCAAAGGGCAACCTGACTGCTGGCGACACCTATATCAAGAGTCAAGATGGACTTTACAGGATAACCTCTCCTGATCACTACCATTCACAAAGAGAGGCCAAGCAGGGGGAAAATTCCAGGACCTGACTTCTTTTTGCCCCCATCAGTTAACCACTTTCTCACCAAAACACAAAGGGGTCAGGGATCTCTTCTTGGAAATTGCAATAAAAAGGCCACCTATCTCTTTCCTCCTTCCACGACTAATTGGTTTTCGGGATTGTGGTGTCTTGAGATCAACTCCACTGTTGTCCTTTCCAGGTTTTAGTAGGAGCCTGGAGCTTGGCTCCTTAGGTATATACCTACCTACCTACCTACCTACCTACCTACCTACCTACCTATCTTTATATATATAGAGGTGGGTGGGTGTGGATGGGGTGTGTCATTCAGTCTTCAGTAAATCGAGTGGAATTATTACTGTGTCGCGGCCCTTTATTGGTGACAAACCCACTACGTACTTAAAAGGGATGTATGGAGTAAGAAGACACCTCCTCGGCCGGCTCTCAGACGTCTCATGGGGGGGGCCGCCCAACCTTGGCAACCGTCTAAGGCAGAAAAGCCGCTGTCGCCTCTCCTCTCCCTCCGCCATCGGGCTCCTCTGCTCCCTCCTCATCTTCCCCTCTCCCCATTTTGCCTGCCTCCTTCGCCGCCGTACCTCGTCTTCGGACGGGAGCAGCTCGCCCTGCCTTGCGCAGCCCACGATAGCCCGCCCACCCAGTTCCCGACCACCTGTGAGGCCGCCCTGCCCCTCGGCCAGGCTCTCAAGCGCAAGCGCGACGGGTTGGGGGCGGGGGCCCGGCTAGCAAGGGAGCGCCTGATAGGCGGGCGAAGCGAGCCTCCCTCTCGCCGAGAGGCGCTGCGGGTCCTCAAGCCCGGGCGCGCCGCGACCACGCCCACTGGGTGCCCGGCGCGGGGATTGGTGGAGGCGCGGACGGTGACGTTCGGAAGAGGAGGCGAGCCTATTTAAAGCCAGGTTTTTGCCGCCAGTCCTTTCTCGCCGCCTTCTGCCCATTCAGGTGCTTTCTTCGCTTCCTTTCCTTCACGTGTCTTGCAAAAGCTCCAGCATGTCCGACAAGCTGCCGTACAAAGTTGGTAAGAGGCCATTTCCCCTCCTTTTCTTCCTCACTACGAAGGCCTGGTTATATCCTTTGGCAACGGGAATGGTTGGCTGCAATACAGGGATCATGGCGAAGTGCTTGTGGCTTGGGACCGTTCTCCACCTTTGTCTTTGCCTGTCACTTTACCAGCTCGAAAGTGATGGTTTTCGTAACCGAATTTTACCGTTTCGGTTTCACCCTCGTTCCACTTCCAGAGGAAGAGTTTAGAGACAGAGGGTGCCTTCATTTAAAAAGCAAATGCTTTCTTCCCCCAAGAAAACTAGCCCTGCTCTCCTAAGCTACGGGAGGCTTCTCTTTCTTTTTATCGTACAAAATGGACTTAACATTGCCTTCCTAGCCTGTCGCCTCTGAGCAAGCTCCATGTGGGCGCTGCAGAGAAAAAGAGCTTCCCGGGAATTGTAGTCCTTCTGACTGCTTGAAAGAAGGACAGTGCTTTCGTCTGGGAGCTGCGATGACTACATTTCCCGTAATGCCCTTGGGCGGCCATGCTGTCAAGCTGCCCTTCTCGTTGCAGGTTAGCTCCCTGACGATTCCTATGGACGGCTTCTCATTTGGAGAAAACGTGTTTGTTTCTCATTTAGAGAAATACAGAAGTCTGACAGATGCAAAACTCTCGGAGAAGGGAGATTTAAACAAACAGGATTTAGTGGTTCAACAAGTGTAAAATCAAGTGTTTTGCAGGAAATTGAATCTAGTAGAGCCCCCTCCTGCCCAAATATCCCAACATAATTTTTCTTCTATTTGGCCTTTCTTTAAAATATTTTACTTGGTTCTAGAGGTAAGACACAAGCGTATGGGAGTGACCATACCCTTACTGGAGGATTGTCATGTGTTTAAATGGTCAGAACAACAAAAAAGGAATTACCTATGGGCTGAGAAATGTAGGAAAACAACTTGGTCCTGTGTTTATCAGCATAAAAATTGCTGCAAAAGGGAATTCCTGTGATCAGCTACCAAGAGATTTCTACTGATCAGCAAGAATCTGATGTATGCTAAAGTTATATAACTGCCTTATTTTTTTAAAAATTACCAAAGTAGAAGCTATACATGTGTGAAGTTTTGTAGCTCCTCTCCAGTTGTTTTCTATGTACTGTAGCATCTGAAGTTTGGGTTGAACCAAAGCAAAATGAAGCCACCCTATTTTGTTCAGTGATGCACTTGTCTTAGCACAGATATTCTTTATGAAATAGTGTGTATCAGCACTTTTGTATCTCTGCCATTTCAGTTCTTGCTTAGGGTGGACTTGTCCTGGGTTCATTTTAGGATGGTCATTTATGTGTCACCAAAAAAGTATTCATAAGTATGTATTTGCATGAAATGTAAACATGCTACTTTAACAGAACATGTTCTAATTAGCATAATTTGAATATAAATACAGTACATTTCACCAGGTTGGGGAAGATTATGAACAACTCATTGGACAGTCTGCTGTTTAGGTGCTAAGCATTGATTCGAAACATTTTTTTTCTGTAGGGTTCTTCGTTGTTGTGGACTGGGGATCTTTGGAAAACAGGATATATTTTTAAAAGAGGATTATTATATAATGGTATTCAAAGAAAGAACATGAAAGTAGAACACATGGCCACACAGGCTTATGCTCGTGAGAGTCTCTTTAAGATATCATGGTCTAAGACAGTCATCCCCAACCTTGGGCCTCCAGATTTTCTGGGCTACAGCTCCCACCGCCTCTGCTGGCCAGGATTTCTGGCAGTTGAGGTCCAAGAACATCTGGAGGCCCAAGGTTGGGGACCACTGGTCTAAGACACTGACCAGATATACTCTTATGACATTAACTGTATTTGTCTTCAGAACTGACCATTGGCAAAAGCCTCTGAAGTACAAAGTGCAGCCAGGATTGCTGACAAGCCAAAACAATTTAGGTTAATAAAATACTAGTGAGGAGTGCAAGGAGATTGCAAAGGAATTACGGTAATCACATTAAATCCTGCTCATGTCATGTTCTTAGTTGTTTTGATGAAGTAGTGCCAGAAAACTCCCTGGATTTTCTTTGGGTCACTCACACAGTCTTGATCAACTTCACATAATTGTTGAGGATAAAATAACAGTGATAGGAAAGCCATGTGCATTTGATATTCCACACAGGAAGAAAGGTGAGGTATGAAAGTACTTCACAAATATAGGTGTTTTCACTTTGTTCTAATCACTTGCGTATGACGATAATGGTTATAGAATGGGCATCAGTTTTTAAAAACTAGTGCATTAACATAGATACATAATTATTTATTGAACATGCTTGAAGAAAGCTATGAAGAAGGCCTGCTCCTATTTCTCTCAGCTGCCACATGGTGTCTGTCTTGATGGTATCTTGGCAGTTCTGCTACTGATGTTAACTGGAGAACTTCGATGAATTAGAGTTTTGTGCATGCATGTAACAACCACCTGTTACTCCTTTTGCTTGCAGCTGATATCAGTCTTGCAGACTGGGGCCGCAAAGCCCTGGAGATTGCCGAGAATGAAATGCCAGGTTTGATGAAGATGCGGGAGATGTACTCTGCAACCAAGCCACTGAAAGGGGCTCGGATTGCTGGTTGCCTACATATGACTGTGCAGACAGCTGTTCTCATAGAAACTCTGGTGGCTCTGGGAGCTGAGGTAAAGTTGTCTTTGGAATCCCTAGCACCTTTTATTTGAAATTGTCTCTGAGTTTATTTATTTGTGGGTAAAGCTCGAACAAAATGACATATGTCCTTTTTTTTCAGTCCTGCCACTATTACACATAAATGAGCCTAAGAGGCCGTATTGTTCCAAAAAGAAAGAATCCAACTGTTGTTCTCTTAATAAAGAACTTTGAGAACTACTGCTAAATATCAAATAAAATATTTTATGGCGTAGTGTTTAAATAAGCTTTGGGTCCATTGTATTGGGAGAGAGAATGGGTATTAAAAATTAATTAATAGTAAATAATGAATAAATACCACACCGTATTCTTGAAGACTTTCACGGCTGGGATCCGATGGTTGTTGTAGGTTTTACGGGCTGATTGGCCATGTTCTGGAGGTTTTTCTTCCTAACATTTAGCCATTCTCTGTGGCTGGCATCTTCAGAGGACAGGAGTTAGAACAGCTTGAAAAACCTACAACAACCATCAAATACCACACCCTTGTTAAAATCAGCAGACTCTGAATACACATCTTTTGCAGGCACTGACGTGAGTCTAACGTGATATTGATATCTGTGGGGCTTCTCCCCATCAACAGCATAGATGGAAACAATTCTGTCAGTGAAACAGGCTTATTAGGTACTGGCCATTATTAGGAACTAAGAGTGAAACTAATAGCAGATGGTAAGCATGAGGTTTATTGAGATGTGCCTCATTAAAGAGATGGTGGTGCCTATAAGCTAGCAGGGCATCTGGGGCCCCCAGATGTTGAATTCCTGTCAGTAGTGACCAACACCATCAATGTTTAGAGATCATGGGAGCATCCATGGGATCATGGATGACATTTGAAGAGTCTGAATGGACCACTCAAGCATCTGCCATTGTTCTGGTATAATTATTTCACATGTGTTCTTGCAATGTATCACTCCTCCAGGTCTGCAGATGAGTGGCATATAATTCACAGCAGATATCACATGCAAACCAATGATTAAAGCTCCTAACTTGTCTAATTTAAGCAGCACCCTGCATTTGCCACCATTTCTTGCTGGTACAAAGAGTCTCTACTGCCAGGGTTATATGGACCAAGCCAGAAAGTGTGCACACCTGGGAGAATCACAACAGAGACTCTATTAGCAAAGAATGGACTGAAACCTATGACTTTCTTTGTTATGCAATAGGATTTTGGCTAGTACTGTATATGCAGAGTTATTCTTAATCCTAAATAGATGCTGACTTTCCATCATTACTTTCATCATTCTGCTAATGGCCTGGCCTCCACTTAGGTTTCTACATAGTCCATATATATTTTTCATATGTAGTTAATAAGATCTTGTAAGTCTTAGTAAAGAAAAAAAAGGATATAAATCTTGAAGTCTCATTTCCAAATTGTAATATATAGCACTATATTCTAGAAAACTCTTAAGTTTGACCAGGTTAATTGTATATGGTAGTGGGGTCAGAGAGAAGGAACTTACAGCCTGTGAATATATTTTGAATTATTTTGCAGGTTCAGTGGTCCAGTTGCAATATTTTCTCCACTCAGGATCACGCTGCTGCAGCTATTGCCAAAACTGGAATTCCTGGTAATGTTTTGCTTTCATTATAATCTAACTGCTGACAATTTAAATTGTTGAGTCCAGCCCAATGATTGTTCAATAGAATCTGGAGGAGTGACAAGGAGGAAATGATAGCATGTCAGGTTATCACCAGAGCAGAACAAAAGCTTTTAATTCCCTAGCAAGAGAGTGATTTCGTATTCTAAAGGCAGTGGCGGACAGAGCAAAATACTTTCAGTGAATTATCCAAGCCAAAAAGAATAATAATGCAGGAACTTTATGACTAAGCAAACTATTCTGTTGTTTTTTTCCTGGATAAAAAGAATGACAATGTAAGCCATAAGACACAGAGTGAAATAATTTAAAAAGTACCATAAGCTTAAGCTAGAAAGTATGCTCATTTGGGCATTGCTAGATCATATGATCCTTAGAGATTCTGCATTGTCTGTTCTCTTAGCATTCATGTTTCCAGAGTGTTATCTCTTTATTCCATCTTTTCCTATCTTGGTGGACTCCAGATGTTTTGGAATAAAGCTCTCAGCATCTCCAGCTATTGGCTATGCTGGATGGAGCTGCTGAGATTTGAAGTTGAAAACATGCAAGTCACCACCTTGGTGAAGTTTGCAGTCATTGTGCATGACTTCAATATGTGAACCATATTGACCACCTACAAGTGTTGCTGAAAGCTTCTCCTAGTTTGGTTCTGCAGTAAGTTTGACAATGGGATCACTTCAATGTGCTTAAGGGCATTTCAGCAATTTGGGAAAGATCAGCTTTTGACTGATCAAAATGGCACTTGCCCAAATTTCTTCTCCACAACTTATAAAGGTATACTGAAGCCCCAGTGCTGAAAGTCTGGTTATCCTCATCCTTGATCATCTTACAGATACCTAATCACTTTTTAAAAACATGATAAATAGAATAACTTTTAAGAATAAATAGAAATCACCAGTGTAAAATGCCACAGAATATGGATGAATTTTACAGGTTTTGGAGTGGTCACTGTTGTGATATGATGTCCACTGTTTTTATTAGGTTGGATTTAGTTTGAATGAACTTTGCTGTGCTGTAACCTCCTGAAAAATCAGTAGAATTATGGCCTGACTGCTTTATATGGGTACAACTCACTCATTATTTCTATGATCAGCTATAGTTGAGTACTTAGGGTCAACATAATTTGTATGGGACAGCAGTCCCGACCAGGTGTTCTCCAAAAGCTTTACAGAATAATCATCTGAATCCCCAAGCTAGAATGGCCATTAATGATGCCATCTGGAGGTCCTGGTTGTTGTAATCCAACACACTAAAGGAAAGTTGTCAAGGAATTAGGCAAGGGTAAAAGAAGGCAGTGCCGATGCTTTGTACGTAACATATATAATGTCCTTTGCCAACAGAGGTGTGATCTATGAATCGAAGGAAAGAGCAAGACAGTAATGCCATTAATACTGGGTCCTTCATTAAAGTGAGAAGGAATAGGAAGGCTGCTGTTACTTGGCTGATGTTCATATCAAACCTGGACAGAATGTAATTCTGAGACTGCGTGTAACTCCCGCCCACAGAGATTTTTGTACTTCTCCCTACACACTATTGAATACCAAATTTTCAAAAGTGCAAGTAGCCTTTTACCCACTTCTGATTTCTTTCTTTCTTTCTTTATTGTTGTTTTGCATTTTTTGACAATCTTTGTGGCCCTGTAGGATTCCAGGGACAGAAACCTGGGCCCCACACCCATCAAAAGTACTCAGCCCTGAGTGAGATCTTCCTCTTACTCCAAGAAGTTCTGTTCAGTATATATAACAGTCCTTTCCTTTATCCCAGTCTTATTCTCGTAACAGCTTCGAAAGTTAGGTTAGGCTGCAGTTACCTACTGCTTTGATTTAAAGAGAAAAAAAATGCTTGTTTCGATGGAGCTAATAAAGAATCATGTGACACCTTAAAGATCAACAAATGTGTTTCAGCTTGGGCTGAAAAAGTGGACTCTAGTCTATGTATGTTTATGTCATAATAAACTTGTTCATGATTAGGCTACCCCAAACCTCTTTACTGCTTTTGCTGCCGCTGCAGACACAACCTAACTACTCTGGAATATGTCTAGGCATGACTTTGGCAGGATGAATGCTTCATGGAAATATGAGTCCAAGACATGAATTGTGAGGCCAAGGCAAGGAGCTGTCTATAGTTCACAGTTCTTAGTAACTCTCATCTAGACAAGATTAACAGCTTCTCTCTTCTTTGAAATCAGTCTGTTTTCCATGTGGCTTTTCACACTGTTCAGTAATTTTTACCAATGTTGAAACGAAGGTGAAGGTACATGTCACTGAGTATAAAACATCTACATTTTCCACCAGTGGTAAACTCCATGATGTCTGCATTGAGATAAAAAGAGCCTTGGGGAAGGGAGTTGCTGTTCTGTATTGCCATGAATCTTGACAGTGTTTTATAGGAGATAATATTGGCACAATTCCAGGAGGAGCTGCTTGGTTGAAAAAGGTCTTAACATGTGCATGACTCAGAATTAAGCTCTTTGGTTCAAATGTAATAGGATTATTTTGATCTGCAGCAGTTCAGGCAGAGGTCTGTTGCTTAATACCTCCCAGGAAATATTGGTGATAACTGTCATGGTACCACTTCCTGTAACTGAGTTCTCAGACTGCACTCGTTTTCCTGTAAGTGACTTGATTATTGGGATGTGAAAAGACTTATGTTTTCTGTTTTGATTTGGTCCTAGTGTTTGCCTGGAAGGGGGAAACAGATGAGGAGTACATATGGTGTATTGAGCAGACTCTGTATTTCAAGGATGGGCAGCCTCTAAATATGATTCTTGATGATGGTGGAGACCTCACCAGCTTGGTTCATACCAAATATCCACAGCTCTTGAAAGGTAAACAACACATTTTTCTGTTAACTTCCAGAATTTTTGAGATGGCTTCTCTTCACTTGCAGCACAGACAGCTGAGAACGAATGTCCTGTCAGAGAGAGATACTAGCTTAATTTTTGGATCAGTGCCTAAAAATCTAAAGGCTGGCTTGGAAACCTTACCCAAAAACAATAATCCAGTGGTTCTTAACCTTTGTTACTCGGATGCTTTTGAACTGCAACTCCCAGAAACCCTAGTCAGGACAGCTGGTGGTGAAGGCTTCTGGGAGTTGCAGTCCAAAACTCCTGAGTAACCCAAGGTTAAGAAGCAGTGCAATAAATCCATTAATTTGAAGGAGTGACCCTGCTCTTCCTACTACACCAGTGTCTCTCAGTCTGTGTTAACCCATACACTCTTGTGGTAAAATTAAAATCCTTCTTTTCAAACCTTACTCTTCTACTAATTTGTTTTAAAAGTTCTAATAATATATAGAAATAATGAAGATATTGAAATATAGAGGCAGAGAGGGAAATGGCTGATTTTTTGCCTTGTATGTAATTTCATGCTACCACTGAGGGGGAAAATGTTTTGGCACTGACAGAGTGACAAGTTTGGTGGGGGAAACTTTAAGGGGCTGCACAGAGGAGACTGAATTCTAAACTGCAGGATAATTCAAAAGTAGAGAAATCTAAAGAAAATATTGTAAGGGCACTCCTGTGTATTATAAAGATAAAGGTAAAGGTTCCCCTTGACAATTTTTCTCCAGTCGTGTTACCCGTTTCCAAGCCATAGAGCCAGCGTTTTGTCCGAAGACAATCTTCCGTGGTCACATGGCCAGTGCGACTTAGACACGGAACGCTGTTACCTTCCCACCGAGGTGGTCCCTATTTATCTACTTGCATTTGCATGCTTTCGAACCGCTAGGTTGGTGGGAGGTGGGACAAGCGACGGATGCTCACTCCTTTGCGTGGATTCGATCTTACGACTGCTTGGTCTTCTGACCCTGCCGCACTGGCTTCTGCGGTTTAGCCCGCAGTGCCACCACGTCCCCCCCTGTGTATTATAGGAAGAGGCAATAAGCTGCAAAGATCTCATTATTTTCTTCCATTTTCTAAATAAAAAATTAAAAGGGGTTGTGTAACTTGCTGTAGCTGATTACGGCTAATGGACAAGGGGCAGAGTGTATCTGGGTTGTGTAGTTGGGTGCATGAGCAAATGCAAGAACATACCACTCTATTTGTTCAATTAGCTGAAATTAACCACAGCAAGTTATAAAAACTTGCACAAATGCCAGTAGGGGTCTTGCTAGTGTCTACTTAGTTACTGCCTAAAGAAGTATCTGAAGTGGTCTGGAGAAGTTAAAGGTAAATCTGTAAATGTGGTCTTCATTACATATCTTTTATCAGTAGTATATATTTTTGGGCTTGTAGTTAAAATATACTATTTTCTTACAGTGTTGTAGGCAATATGTTTGGAATGTTACAATAGCTTGAAATTTTCTGAATTTTGGTTTTTAAAATAAAAATGACAGGGAAGTTCTTCTTCCTTTTCCTGCCCGTGTCCTGAAAATCAACTCAGTGACCGAAATCCTGTTCTGTAATGCAGTCAAAGTTATAAATTTTGGTCCATTCCTCACAGGTAAATAAAGAGCCCCAACATGATTCAGGGGGCATGGACATGCATTGGCTTAGTGTGCACACACGTGTGCACGCGCACACACAAACAGAAACTCAGTGAGGGTTTATTTACTATTGAAAAACAGACTTTGTTTATGTTATGCAACAAGATTTTGTTCTGGATTTACGATACTAGGGTAATATAGTGGCTAGATTGATTGTCTCTCTGCTGAGCCATGAAATTCACTGGCTGTTCTTTAGCGAGGGACTCTCTGAGCCTTATCTATCTCATAAGGTGGTTATGGGGGCAAAAGGTAGAGGTGAGGAAAGCCATGTCTATTGCCTTGACCTCAGTGGAGGAAAGGCAGGGTATAAATACAACAGAGAAATAAGAAATACAGTTTAGTTTTTCACAGAATTATTTATGTGAGAAGAACCAGGGGTAGAGGAAGCAGTTCCCTCAGTCCTGTGGTGGTTCAGTTGAGGGCTTAGCTGAGACCAGGCTGTAAATGTTGAAGGGAATCGGCCAGAGAGTGCAGCTGGAAGCGATGGCTAATCACCCATATAGGGTTTGGCTGTTATGAAAAATTAGCGCAGGAAGCAACTGTTGTAGAATGCAGCTGGACGCGATGGCTAATCACCCGTATAGGGTTTGGCTGTTGTGAAAAATTAGCGCAGGAAGCAACTGTTGTTTTTGGGTGCTATTGTTTGGGGACTGCTTCGTGAAATCTTCTGGATGGATGTCTCTTGACGGTTGGACCGGACCTTAAGGGCTGTGGTTCATGATAGTCCCTGGTATGCCTTCAAAATCTGTGGCGGAAAGCTGGAATCCTCTAGTGCAAGTGGCAGGGATGCAGGGTTACACAGGAGAGGACAGACAGTGAATATTGTGTTGTACAACTAGGCTTCTGTCTTTGTTACATTCACTTCCGTCTTCTGACAGTACCAAGTATTTAGCTTTAAAAAAGCAAGAATCAAGTGTAAAATCTTTCTATGTGGTACATAAAATTTCCTGGGACAGATTAAAAATGCAAACAAGATACAATATGAAAGAAAAAAAATATATACATTTAACTGAATCCTGTAAAAATAAACAGTATTTGTCTATTAATTCTACTTTGTAACTCATTCATAAATAAAAGCAGACTGTCTATTCTACTTTGTAACTCATTCATAAATAAAAGCAGGTGCAAAAGCGTAGGCATGGGAGCAACTTACTGCCTTCAGTACTTTTCCTTTCGGCTGATAGGTATTAAAAGTACAGTAGTACTGTTACATTTACATAGGCATCCTTCAGTCTCATTGCCTTCAGTACTTTTCCTTTTGGCTGATAGGTATTAAAAGTAGTACTGTTACGTTTACATAGGCATCCTTCAGTCTCGAGAGACTATGGTAACATGCTCTGAATCGAGGAGTGTCCTCTCCAGAGCATGAAGCCTGGGTAAAGTAATATGGAGGATAGGCTGTTACCCAAGCAGCAGATCCCCCCTCTCCACATTGCTGAAATGGTCCAATGGAAAGGCAAGAGCCAATTCAACTGGTTCCAGCAACATCACAGGAGTTGGCAGAACAACACGAACTGCTCTACTGTTACTAGTTGCATGATCATTCTATAGGAGGATATAAGCAGGGCATGTAATGGGGTGATGCCCAAGCTGTTACACTTTTGCAATGGAGCTTCTTTTGAGCTTGGTCTTTTGTTAGTATTTCAGTAAACCAAGGAACTCTTTTGGACTCAAATCACCTATTGACTGAAAACCTGTTACTTAGCATACTAAGTTCCAACTAGAGTACAGGAACTGTACAAATTTCTTGAATCTTCGCATCCTTAAAACAACAATCATATTTTTCCCTGGAAGCTGTGACACTATTAGTGCCTATTTCTTAATAGCTGTTTTCCCACATGAACAACAACAACAAAAAATCAACTTGCATAACAGGCTTTTTAAAATTCCTGCCCGCTTTTACTAAACATAAAAATCTCATGCCATATTCATGCCATGTAATTTCCCCCAGTTTTCAAAAGTAGACATTATATTATTCAGTAACATTTTAAACCTCATATACTTCCTCTGAAATACTGATATAGTATCTTCAGAGGGTGCATCCCACAAAATGAGAATTTCTGGTTTAGAGCTGTGCTTTTCAACTTCCTGATATGTCAAATGATATGATTTAGTGCTTTGCAAAATATCCCTCTAAATGCATGATTTGATGCCGTGTGTAACAGATAATGTCTGTTGAACTTGCAGCAATTCACTTCCAAATGTTACACCTTCTGCGTAACAGTGCAACAGAATTTTAGCCAATATGTCAACATAAAGGTATTAATGCATTTGATTAATTTCCTATGACAAATGTTGGACAAATAATATCCTGAGAAATCCATTGCTAGCAATGGATATACATAGCTTTTGGTATTAGTGATAATTTGTCTCTTTTTACTGATGTTTCCCTTTGCTTTGGAGTACCATAGGTGCTACATGACTACTCTAGGGTTTGTGCATAATGCACTCATTTTTGCTAATTAGGGACTGAAGACTTGAAAGAATTGTTCTATAGTATTTTCCTGCTTTTATCTGTCAGTGAATATGAAGTAGCCAGTCATTTAGAATTGAGAAGCTACTCCTGGAAGAAGGAGGGCTGCATTCCAGGTCAGTTCGCAATGGGAACTCTATTGGACATCCCTAAAACTGCACCCAGGTGAACCAGATTGTGTGCCAAAAACTGGAATGCTGCAAGTCGGACAAACGCCCATACGCCAGGCTGACACAAGACATTTCACTGCCTGAGGTAGAGCAACAAATAGTGCCCACAAATCTACACAAATCAATATGATGAGATATTTTATCACGGGATAAAAAGTCCCATAAACATCGGTTGCTTTCTCCAGTAGTGAAGCAAGGTAAACAGGGAATAATTGGCTCCTTTTTGGTGATATCCAAAATCTGTGACCTGAGGTGACCTCGCTCTGCCTAATCATAAGGCCTGAACTGCCTTTGTATTTATATCTCATAGCATATTCCGCCACCATTGGTGTTTAGGAAAGGGAAATTACCAAACAGTTGAAGACAGTAAAACCTTTCTCTGATTAGAGACCAGCTGCAGTGAACGAGCTAACCATATGGTCAATTGTGTGATATATGAAAAGCAATGTTGTGACATAATTCCTCCTGCTAAATGAGCCCTTTGATAGAGATGTGTGCTATGATGACCCATATGTCATTATACGCTTCACCCTTAAATTGCACAGGTCTGAACAGCATGGTTTTGGTTATAAACTGATTTTTTCCCAGTAAGCAAATAAATAAATATTCCAATAGATAAATATTCAATAAATACTGTGCCCCTGGCCACCTAGAACCCCATGTGTTCAACAGTGAAGGTGTCAAAGTAGTCTACTTGCC